CGTATTTAAGAATAACTTGGGTTTAATTGTAACAAATACTGATCCAATTGGAAGCCGATGTCAACTCCAATATATTTGAAGAATGTATGTGAAAAAGTTAAGCTTTTTTAATGTAACTATGAATAATTACTTAATTCTTTCTTTGCATATCTGTTGAGTAAAACAAAATACATATATGTTGATGTATATAACTGAATGACAATATTAACCTGCTTTACATAGAAAGTTTCTCTGATAGTTTTGTATATTATTTCGTAAAGTGATCATTGTAATATATTTCTTGAAGTGTGTAAGTATTTATAAAAATATAAGTGAAGCTGACTGAAAAGAGAATAAGAATTATCTGTAAAAAAAATTCATAAAAGTAAACACTAAAAAATTATTATTATTATTATTATTATTATTATTATTATTATTATTATTATTATTATTATTGTTATTGTTATTGTTAACTTCCAAAAGTATGTTATTACAAGAAAAAAAAAGAAAGAAAAGAATTCATTGTTATTCAAGTGAATACATAAAATCATCCTTTTAATTGTATCTCTCATACTCTTACAAACGATTTACTTCCAACTTTTTGTACTGATAGCTCACAAGTAATTATAGGTAAAGTAATGTGGCTATTGGATTTCTATGTTTATTGCAAAGAGAATGGAGAAAGTACGTGCATCATCGGAAATTCTTAAGTGTATGTGTGTGTTGTGTTAAAGTTATAAGTGTAACATGGCCCCTCTATTGTGTTGTCTAGGCTATCTGGGACAATATGCTGGCCAAAATGTTAGCCACCATGACATTGACGTGGCTCATCCCGGATAGCCTAGACAACATAAACTCTGGCCGCGGAAGCCTATGCAACCATGGCCCCTGTATTATTTTATCTCACTACTTTGCATTTGCTGAGAATGTTGACCAGAACAGAATATGAAACTGCATTTTAGAATTATTTTCTAAGAATTTTGTGTAAATTTTGGAGGTCATAGTAACTATTTAACACCAAAAGTAATTTTCTATTGTTTATCTCCCAATGTTAAAAAACAAACAGAGACTATAAAGAAAGTAATGATCATGTATGAATTTATATCAGCAGAAAATTTCCTGAGTAAAAAATGCTTTCACTGTTTGTTTTTGTTTGGAGGTTAATATAATTATTAAAATATTTGTTATAAACTCCCACTTTCTGAGCATAACATGTTCCATGTCATTTGCACAGTCTCCTTTAACTAATTTTAGCCATCTGCACAACCTGTATTGGCAATTTTACAGACTTAACTACAACTTCCTGATAAAAAACTAATTATTTATTCATCTGTAAGATATTTTGATCAACTGACTGAGCACACAAACAATCATAATTATGTTTCTTTTAAAAGCATAGGCGTAAGCGCAGCCACTTGGTTCTTTGGGAGATGCTGTGCCTTTTGGACAGCCAAGGGTCTAATGTTCCTTCTATTCTAGTATTCTTGAGAAAAAGAAGCTTTACTCTGTAAAACACAATAAACTCTCTTGCTGAATGAATCTTTGTTCTAGTGAACATGCGCAACCAAAATAGATACATTAATTGTTTTTTAGTATAAGGGGGAGGGGGAAGAAGATTACGAAGAAAAGAAAGGAGGCACTAATTATTATCGTTAAAATAATATTTTCAATTTTATAGGACTGGTATTTCCATAGTCATTGACCACAATAGTAAGTAGAAATTTAAGTAAAACAAGACTCTTGTTGCATTATTATGTTTCAATCACTAAGTAAATATCAAGCATAGTGTTCTTTGGTTTTTATACCTCAAAAAATAATTATTTATTAATAAACCTCATAAAAGAGTTAAGTATTTTAACTTTATGTATCGGAAGCAGCATTAATGCTCTTCAATTGACAATCAATAATAGTGGTAGGTAGTGATATTGGTATTGAAAATATGTAGATGTCAAGGAAAGTTTCCTACCGATTGTGTTAAAAATGTAACTAGTGTTTTCTTGTGGATTAACACTTACTTTTCTAAGTTTGTGTGTTTTCTGTCCAGGGTTGGTTGACAAAAATACAAAAATCACATTTTTAATTGAACTGTTCATTATAAACTATAGACTGATAGTGGAGAAAAATAACTTGTAATAAATGCTGGCTGGTATTCATTGTGTCCCTTTGGTGAAGTAGTTATGTAACAAATATATAACAACATTCCATGTTGAACTATTGTGTTATATTAGCAAAAACAGCTGCTCGTTTCAAAAAAATTATTTGTTGCTCTTTGTTTGGTTGATATAAATATTGTATATAAAAAATAAATAAATATTTGTGATAAATAAATTGTAATATATTTCTGAACAATTTGTCAAATGACTTAAACGTGGCAGGTAGGTATTAATGCAGAATGTACAGAGGATGTCTTGTGCAATAAAATGTCTTGAAATAATGCAATAAAAGAAATATGTTTGTAAAAAATTCTGTACATCTTGCCATATTTATTACACAATAATATACAAATGTCAGGAATATTCACTGAACAGTAGCTCGTTTATGCTTTGGATGTCTAGAAAGTGCTAATAATTCCTTTTTATATTTGTATCTTTTAAATTTATTAATAAATGTTTACATTTAAATGCATTCATTTGGAATTATATGCAGCATGTATTCTCCTTTGTAATTATTTGGAGTAGATATTGTGTTGTGAAATATGAATTATATATACATTACCTTTTCTTCAAAGAGTTATTTACTTTTACAATGTGGACTCTCATAATTTTCAGAATGAACATTAAAGAAATGTGATTTAATTTCATGTTGTACATATAAAAGCAAACACATTTGAAGATACTTTAAAAATCAATTATTTATTTTGAGTTAAGAATTTCAGTTTTTGCCTGATGGTCATTGAAGTATCAATGTAATTTTAAAAAATGCCCAGTAGAAATAGTGTTGATTGTAGAAACAATAGTAATATTAGTCATCATATTAACAGAGGTTGTTATAATTATAATTTTTGAAATGTATTCAGTATTAAGAAATTTAAGTGACAGTTGTAATTTTGGAATAAAGAAAGATATGTTTTGTATCCACCCATCATTAGTATTATCTATCTGATATGTTTTCAAGTGCTTATATTTGTCATTTTAATATCAATCACACAATTTTAACAATCTTTGAATCAGTCAATCAATTGAACGCAGGATTAATTTCAATTTTCGAAGCGTTGGTGTATGTTGTAGAAATTGAAATTTGAATATTCAATTTTGCCTCTAAACTATTTCCGAAATAATATTTTAAAAATACTTGCTGCTCAATGTATCATTATTTTCATATTCTGCTGTCAATTTTAATGAGTGTATATTTTACCTAAATTGTATATTAATTTCTTTGAACATCATTTTAACTACAATAGCAAAATGTTCATACAGTAACAAAACTAAACTGTTGGTCAGGTAAATGTTATTACATTTGAGTGAAAGAATATATCATTCTGTTAACTAGTTATTAAGAACACTGTTTCTCATGCTGTGCTCCAAATGTTTCCTTCTTCAAGTTTATATTTCAAGAAATCTTAATGTAATATTTTCATTATTAGTTCATATTACTAACTTCATTATACATATATTTGCTGTTCTATTTGGCAATAACTGATTAACAGTAAATGACAAGGCCTCAGTAAACAAAAGTATTTTGTGAATATTTACCGTACATATTTGTTGCTAGAATGGAAATGTTTTGTTGAATGGAAATATTATAAATATTTTTAATATAACTTTTCATGTTGTGCCCCTTCCCTACCCTACACTTTATGCATTTTTAAAAGCTGTCCTCACATTTGTTTATGAAATTCATCATTTTGTCTCCTTTTGTCCAATAAATTGGGCATTTGATTAGAGAAAGTGATATGAAGACCATATTTCTGGGTTAGGCTAGGTACACAAAATTGGTTCATTTACTTCAATTTCTTACGAATCATTTAGTATAAAAACTAAGTATCCAAATAAACAGAATATCCAATTAAATAATTTTAGAAAAAGGTATTTTCCTATTGAAAACTTTAAAAATATATTTTAAGTAATAATGAAGTTTATTAAAAAATGAGTTATGTATTGTATTATAATAGAACAAATAATATATTACGGACACATTGACCTTATCTATATTTATTTTCTTATTCATTCTTCTCCGTTATACATGTGTCTAAATAATGGCCATTTTTTATTTATCAATTTCTGGGATTAATATCTATTATCTTCCATAACTGTTTTATTCTTTCTTTTTCTTTCAGATTTTTGCTTGTGTTTTGGGTGTCCGAAATGTTATGAATTTGAACTTTTGTAAATTATCAATTGTCCATGGGTTACTGAAAGTGGATAAAGGGATTAAGCAAATGGGCTGAGTTCCAACATTTGATACCTGATTTTCGTTAATTTTTTTTTCTCTTTCATCCCCATGCATGTGACTATTCACAGTGGATTCTCTATAAAGTGCAAGTAGAAACAATATGTAGGCATCCTGTATCCTTCAGCACATTGTTTTTTATAAGTTATTCCTGATTTTCAAGTACCTATTGAACTGTCCTAATGTGGCTGTGATATTGATGAATGAGGCTGAGGTTCACCATTGCTTGAGGTAGGTGAATGCTGTGGAAATTTTCAGGGTTGATGTGATTCCCTTGGACAACTCAAAAGTGTTTTCTGCTGGTAATGGAGTACTTTGTACATTGAATTGGAGATGAAACTTTATTGTTAAATTTCTTTGCAAATAGAATTGGAATAGTTTAAGGTTTAAAAACCTGTACTCATATATCATTTCAAGATTTTCAAACTTTGATACTTAATTATTCTTGATGAAACTACATTCCCTCACTTCTTTCTCTCTTCCTCTTTCTTCATCATTGTAAATGTATCCTAAATTATTATTAATTTAAGTCAATTTAATTATTATATTTGTCATTGTTGAAGCATTTTCATAATAAAATGTATTACTTATAGATTTGTCTTTATTTATATTTTGTTTTGTTTTCTCCCTAGTGCATACAAATGTGGCTCATCTGCATTCTTATGAAGAAATACCTCCATGAATGTGGCTACAAGATGGAACAGCTTCTGCAGTCATTTGAATTATTTCTGGTTACATAGAAAAAATCTACATTATTATAGAGTTAAATGCAGACAATATATTTTAATTTAAGTTGCTCAGATAAATTGAGTTGATCTATGAATGTTATTACAATATAAATTCTTTGTTAAAATATAATTCAAGTACTGCAATATTGTTAACCTGTGCTCTGAGCAATCTAAAGTGTGATTGTTGATAAAATGGTACTTTAAATATATTTAAGGATAATTACGCAGTTTCCAATAAAAATCTGTAATTTTTGGGGGGAAGCATTGTAAAATTTGCACAACTCTCGCATACTCAACATTTCTGGAATGGAATGGTGACTTACGTTTTTAATCTGCTGATACTTTTTCCATTGTTCTTACTCTAACGTAACTGAAATATTTTTCTTTTTAACTTGAGTTGGTCTCAAAATTAAATACAAAACATTCAGTCAACAAATTTCTAAAATTCCTCAGACTTGTACACAAAATCGTGGTCGCTGCAAGCAAAGTTATAAATTATATTAATTAGAACACACATTGTATCGTGTGTCACAGGTATATTATAAAAAACCTCAAAAATTTGGCCACTCAAATTAAAAAGGATCTTTGAGTGATAAAAAAATAATTGGTTTTTGTTTGTTACGCTTTCTGAATATTGTCTAATCTTTTGCATTAAATACTATTTATTTCATTATTCAACTGACATTGTCCGCAAAAATGTACTACTTTAAACACTTTTTAACATGATGTAGATACAGCTTTACAAACATTTATGGCTCTTTTAAAGTATACTCTCAATAATGGAAACAATTTTTTTTATTAAAGTATTGAATTTTTGATGACATCTTGTTCTGATGAAAATTAAGTATTTTATTCTGATCATGTTTAGTCTTAAATGTTCAAAGAAAAATGAAATTCATATTTCTTAAGTTTTTATGAGCAGAAAATGAATTTTCAAAACTATTCCTTTTGAAGATACTACCAACAAATATTACAAAATTTAAGAATTGCTTAACTTTAAAGATAGTTCATATCCGTATCAATGTTATTAATGCCTCTGATCTTCCAAGACATATTCTCAAATACAAATGTCCAAGTTCTTGCAATAATGCTTATGATTCAAGGACGAAGGTTTTGAAAGTATTAGGTCATCAAATTATAATAAACTGTAGCAATAGCTGAAAGTACCTCCAATATGAAGGTTAATTTCTAATGTAAGCACTGGATTTTGCAATTACCTTTATATTAGATTTTAAATATCAATGTTATGCATTCCAATGAATTCTTCCCTTATTGTTGAACAGGTTTCAATGTATTTTCACATTTTCACGAACTATTTGAAACTTGTCACCCACGTAAACTGTGAGTGATTTTAGTATTTTATGAAAACGTTGCAATATACATACAAAATAAATCAGTGACCTGCTCTTCAGAATTACAGGTCAAAATTGAAATAAGCTTGCTAATTTAAAAAAACAAAAACAACAACATTCATTCATTTTATGCGAATTTTATTACTGAATGTTTCATAAAAGTTTTATTGTTCTGCTTATTTAATTCATCATATCTCATTGTGTGACTGGTACATTGTTGAAATTTTACTTCCACACATGCTACATGTAGTGCCTTCTATGAATTTAATGCAATAATGTATATTTCAAATACTCTACTTCATTATTGGTTGTGAAAATTCCTAAATACTGAATGAGATCTCTTTTGTAATAAGCTTTCACAAAAATGAAAATAATAAAAACAAAAGCTATGGCTATCAACAGTTCTGTTTATAATCTTTTCATCTCTTCCAATTAATGTCACTTATTAGCAATGTCTGAAAAGCTTATTCATTCCATGATTCTCTTGCTTTAATCTGCAGACTGACAAGGTCTAAATACTACTACCATAATAATATTTAATAGTATAACAATTAAATTTATTTTCCATTCATTTGCATGCAATTAGAATTTTCTTTAGAAATACACACCACCATTTATGTATTACTTTTCAGTGGGGAAAGGACATTTAAGGATCTATGTAACTGTATCAAAGAGCTACTGTAACCACTTAAAAGCTGTAATCATTCAGGACAGGATTTAGCAGAGAACACACATGTGCAACATCTCAAATATTTATTTGCAAAAAAACTGTTTAACATAATAACAGGAGTCACCAAAAGATGTTTTAAGAGCACTGTAGTGATTTCATCAATTTCATTTTGAAACTGATGTGCCAATTAGGATGAAAAAATACATTTCTAGAAAGATCCAACAGTTCATAAAGAAAATGTTTTTCATATCATTCATATCCTGAATCATAATGGAAATACTCTTTATTTCAATTGCAATCTGAACCATTCAACCGTAGTTTTGATATTTTAGATCAGATTCTTCAAGAATAAATAAATGATATCAAAAGAATATGATGTAACCAAACATTTTTCACCATAATTAACATGACAATCTATGTTGAGGGAATACTTCTACATAGTTTACAACAAAATTTTTCAGAGTACTAATTCATATTGTGTTACACAGATATGGAATAACCACAATACCTAGCAGCATTTATTTTTTTTGTTTTACTACAAGTTAAGCTAACGGAGATGCACATTTTCAGTGATGACTGGAATATACTACAAATAAAAACGTGTACAAGCCACAAAAAGGAAGTTAGTTGGAAAAATTTAATAACAGCCATAATGCCTTTTGCCTACCAGACTGGCATTATAAAGTATAATGAAATGTTCAAATATGATTCTGAATAGTGATATATTAAGCATGCAAACAGTATACGGACTTACATATTTAAAGAGAAAGAAAAATTATCAGGAACTATGCACCATGATGCTTCTTATAAGTAAGAATTCATTTTCGACATTTTTCTGATTGGAAAGACTTACACAAGAGGAGAACATATCCCAATAAGTATGAGCACATTCTGGTCAGAATCTGGAGGAATGATTGTGTCAGTATAATTGTTAGAAAGAATTTAGCTTCCTTTTGCCCAGATTCAGATCAGGGAAGATGCCAAAGAAAAATTTTTAAAAAATGCGAGCTCAGCATTTACCATGCGCTTATAATAATTTTTGCGATGGTCCCTAAAAAAAAAAGTACTCGTTTTTATGATTTATTCATAGAATATTTCTTTGAATTTCTTTCTCTTTAGCAATATTTTTGCTTTCCAAATTTTTATATATTTAGAAATAGATTTGCTCTCAATGCCATGCTAAAAATTGAAATAAGTCGACCCTTTTAAAATCACTCAAATAAGTTGCCTGTCATTTACAGAGTAAATTATGAGCTTCAACTTAACAAGAGCATTGCTGGACAAGTAAGTCCCCCAGTGTCATTTACGAGCCTCAATATTTCAGAAGCATAAATTTACTTTGAGGTATTGCAAAACTATACTTTACAGTGTAACTTGAAAGTCATATGAACAACGAAAAGAACATGAGAATTCTAAATAACATGTTATTGTTTTCCATTTTTATAAAATAGTTGTGCGGATGACGGTCTATATCTATAACTTTCATTCAAACTTTTGTTTTTGCACTGCAGACATTTCTAAGTCTTACAATTTTCTAACACATTCACAAAATAATAATCAACTTTTTACTCACCGCCGAAGCATTTTATTTCAGGTATATTTCGAAAGGAACATAAATGCAATCAAAACAAAGGTCACAATCCACACAATCACTTCAAGCCCTCTTTTAGATGTGCACCTCTTTAGCATTTTGATCTACTGTATTAGGCTATTTGCATTCATAACTACAAAATGATTAGAGAATACTGCAATGAAGGCCATGTATAGTGTTGGAAGCTTAAAATGTCATTGAATCTAATTACAGATTTTGACTATTTAATATTCTACTTGAAATAAACAACTTGGCCATATTAAACAAACAACACATTGTGCTCGATTATTAACAACACAATACTAATTATGCCAACTGAATTTCTTCTGACCTTTGATACAACTTAGAGTAATTCTTTACCCAACAAAATTTTATTTTCTTGAATATTTCTCATTTTTGGAAGTAGGGAACAAGAGAATGTGACATCATTTGCATTTAATTTAATATTTATTATTTTAGTTCTTTTTGAAAGTATTCATAAAATAACACTTCTCTCTTCTGAAAAGTTGGGTTATGAAGAAATTTGTAATTTTAAAAATCTCATTCATACAACATTTAACTGCATAAATGTTTTGTGCTTTTACCTAGTAACAGTATTCATTTTTAATGTTAATACTGCACCAACCTACTCAGACATAACAATTAAAACAAAAATATTTACAAATATACACAACTGAAATAATTATATGGGTTGAGAAAGTAAATAAACTTAAAACAACAATTAAGTTCTTTGAACTAAGACCTGGGCATAGATAAAAGTAAAAATTAAAAAATTATAAAAATTGAAAAATGTTTACTCGTTTAAAAGTTTATGTTTACTCAGTCTAGTAAGTCTAATAAGTTCAGCAGTTCTGTGGCTCTAGGTGTGGAAATTAATAACAGCGGTAAATATCTTATGCATTATTAAAGCATAATTTCTGTTAGATATCCTTACATTCACATTGCTCCATTAGGTTAGTATTTTTTGCCATGTAATTTAAATAAAAAAATCAAACAAGGTACATAAATACAAATTGATAACCATATCTCACACCAGAGAGAAGCAGTGTTTCACAAATTTTGAAGACAAAATACATCGACTAGTATTCATTTAATAGGAACTACATCAAGTTTGTCCTTTTACTTCAACAAATTTATTAGTACTATAAATTGCAATCTCGCTTATTGACGTGCCTAGTTTTTAAAGATTATCAGAAGCAATAACAATTTCACCTCATATATTCAGTGATAAATAACAAGAGCATTTTCATTCCACCATATCCACAAACTGCAGTTCATGAATATGTGTAATATGAGATCACTAAAATTAATTGCATTATCTTGTGTGCCAACATTAGGTGTATCTTTAAACTTTCCTTCTAATAACCTGCGTAAATGACGCAGGAAAATGCTATTGATCTTCAACTAGACTCTCTTCACTACTTGATTTCTCTCCGGTTCCTGAAAAGGTGTCAGATCCTCCTAAATTACGAGCTTGAAACTTGGCAAGAGCATCGTTGGACAAATGAAGTCCCACACTGAATTGCAAATCATTCTGCAATGGCCTAAATGTTTCAGAAGCGTAAACATGCTTTGGGCTCCTGCCCGATATTGTTTGAGAACTAGATGATGAGAACGCATTGGATACGGGAGAATCTGCACACCGTTCCAGAGAACATTCACTTCCTGCATATCCATGAATTAACTTGTGTTGAGGACTTTCTTTTCTGCGAGGGCTACTGTGTAGACTACTTGATTTGGGTTTTGTATGCAAAACTTGAGAGACTTTATCAACAGGCTGACCATATTTCATCTCCGAGATACTTTTTGATGGAATTTCATTTTTTCCTTGATCTGTATTAAAACTGATAGTGGGAGAGACACAGGTTGAGGTAGTAGCAGTAGAGGCAGAAATTAAGGTAGTGGCAATAGTAGAAGTTTGGGTGGCAGAAGTCGTAGCAACCATCACAGCAGAACAAGAAGCTGTTGCAACAGAGATAACTGAAGATCGATCATTATTAGGAGACAATTCGGGAGAGGTTTGTTTTGCTAGTAATGCTTTTGCTTCCCTTTCTTTCCATTTTTGTGCTTTGATAACAAGTACAGATTTCAACTCTTGCATCATTTTTTTAGAGAGCTGTTTTGCCTTTTCATACTGCATTTGTTCATTTTTAATAACATCCTCATTATATGAAACTGTAGATTCACTGTCAATATCTTCAGTTATTACAGCTTCAAAAACTTCATCTTCCACTTGAGGATCTAAATCTGTATAGCCTACCTGCACAACTTTCAATGGTGCATCACTACTATCAATTTTATCAATGATCCTTTCACTTCCTTCAGGTTCTGGCAATGCTTCAAGAGTTGTTAATTTTTTTATTTGGATTATTCCTTCTTCACAACAGCTTCGACATGCATCAAGTTCTTGGATTATACTTGATAAGTGAGTTATCACATCTTCAAGATCTTCATTCTCCTGTACAGTTTGTTCTTTGATTTCCAACCTCTCTTCTAAAGTCCTAGTGTTTAATAATAAAACTTGAAGATGTAAACTAGCACTTCTTATGGCATCTTGCAAATCCGTTGTTTTGAAAAAATCAGATTTCTGAATGGGCAGCAGAAGGGCGTTATCTTGAATCTTTTCACAGGTACCATATGAATAAAAGATTTGATACTCTTTTATTAAATTTGAATGAATATGTGAGGCTGTTTTTGTTACATTGCATACAGTTTGCATTACATTCTTCACCTGCTTTAATGATTGCCACCTCCACAGTTCAGGACAGAAACAGAGAGCTAATCGCCTTAAGAATTCTGACTGAAGAAGTAGAAATACGTGATGCAGCCTCTGAAGAAAAAGATACACATTTTCATACACCTAAGGAATATAATAATTAATTAAATATACTTATATAGTGTAACTTGTAACCAATGAAACAAAATTAGCCAGAACAAATAAGCTTATAAAACATAATAAGGAAACTGATAATTCTATAATTGATCTCATCAAACTATTAAAGAAGTAAAGAAATTGCACCTTCAAATGACTGAGCTTCACACCTAATTCTTCCTCCTCTTGAAGCAATCCTAAAGTTTTTTCATCAAGATAAGACATATAATGACTTGGATTATCCAGCTGACCAAACAATGGACAGTAACTGATAAGTTGTTGAGTGGCACATGACAGTGTGGTTATTGCTTCAACTAAAGTTTTTGCTACAGCTATGCGAAGGCCAGGAGATGAATCCCATTTTCGAATCATACACGGAAGATCTGAGTTTTCAAGGCGAGATACTGTACTTCCAGTCTTGGCACTAGAACACAATTGGTATTGAATATTTTCATGAAACACTGCATAATTTCTTTATGGTAAAATAAGCTTGATATAAATATTGGAAACTCACAGAGTAAATCCCCGCAATATCAGTTCATTTTCCTGTAATAATTTCATTGACTTCCAGAAAACTACATACAAATCTTTCATTGCTTGTAAGAGATTTTTTTGATGTACAAGGTTTTGAGCATTTTGACGAGTTTTCCTCCAACTCCATAGAGCACAAAACATTAAGGATCCTGTCACTGGCCAGATAACTTCATTCCCTAAACTATGAGTCAGCCAGTTAAAAGGGGAAGGCAAGTTCAGTACTTCACTATTCAATGTTCTCTTGCTGGAAATAATGGACGCATATCTCTGTTATTCCACATATGCTAACACAAGCAAGAATCCGTAATTTGTGGTAACTTCAAAAGAAAAATGTAAGAAATGTGAAATTAACTGTTCATTAACTTACTTTGCAATTTGGTTTTCAGTTTGTGAACTGGGTAGAACATTTTTAACAAAGTGTACATCATCTTCAAAAATCAAGCCGCATTCTAAAATGAGTTCAATATGCTTACAAAGAACCATATGGTCCTGAAAATAAAATTTAGGGAAAACATAAATCATCTCTCGATGGTCATCTTCCTTGGTAAGAAGAAAGATAACTGATATTTTTGAAATACCATTGGCTTTACATCTGATATCCATGGACGCCTCAACCAATCTGAAGCTGAACGATAAAAGGAATTCACCGCCTAATGGAGAAAATATATTTTAGTGATGAAGCGGCAGAGTGCAATTTTGTGTCTAAATTATATATAAACTCACACTCAAAGATAATGAAAAAGATAATCCACTTACCTCTCTAGGAGATGTTGGAAGTGATTCATTTGGGCTTGCAACTTCAAAATCCTTATATCCAATTTCATTTAGATATTTCTGCAGTTCTCTCCCCTAAAAGAAAATGTAAACAATGATTATGCAGCCAGAAAAAAGTAATCTCTCTTGCATTTACCCAAAGAATATAGGTAATAAAAGAATAAGGCAATAATTCAAATGATTATTTATGTTAACAACTCTGAATAAAAAACTTACACTGAACTCTATAGGATTACCACTTACAAACATCACAAAACGTATTAATCATACAGCAAAACATAACTGTCAAACGAGCTGAATTTGTCAATTCAAAAGAAAACTGAATGCATCTAGCAAATGCATGCATGGCATATCCACGATGACGGTACAATTCAAAATCTGCTACAGGTCAATGACGTGTAAATGACACAATCGGTAACACCAACCAAATTAATTATAACAGGTAGATTTTAAAAATCAACCTACCTAAAACATACATCCTTGTTTTCAGTTTTTGCTAGCAAAATTTTAAATTTCATAAATGATATTTCAATGATACATTTATAACTAAACATCCAAGAGTTTTACTGAATTAATAATAGAAAACCAGGTTACAAAAATTGACCAGTAACATAAAAAGCTCAGTGGATTTAGATTAAAAATGATTTTACACTTTCCCAATGAGGTATCAGTTCCGAATGCTGCTTACACGGCTGACTAGCCCCTATTCAATAATATAATTAATTCTGTTTTCTGTAGCTTTCACCCTTGCTTTTCACAAAACAAATTCAAACAAGGTACAAAACTGTCAGAACGCGCATGCGCCTAATATGAAAGCTAAAGTAACATATTAAACAGTTGCAAATGTAATGGAAATGTCATTTGATAACCGAAGATAGATAGTATAACTATCTAAACTAAACAATATTTAAACTTACCTCAAATATCACATCATCGTCATCATCAGCCATAGCAAACACTTTTGTCAAATATTCGGAACGTTATGTTTCTTAACCTCTACATACCATTCCCTTGAAAGAAATGCCACATTATGGGATTTCCATAAGTTGGCAGGAATTTGAAATAACAATATGATATGCTAATAGCGGTGGGATGTTTATTTGAATAAATACATCTGAGAAATCTCAATGAATTAAATCATAATAAATGTGCTTTAAAATTACTTTGTCTATCAAGGGTCGTTTTTGCCGAGATAGGCAAGGTCGGTAAATCGCATCCCAGCATTGTCAACTGACAAGGATACAAATAGACAGCCAAGATACATCATGCGTACAGGCACATTTCCACAATCCGCGCTCACGTCTTCACTGTTTTGTCTTTGCTAGCGTGCGACAGCAAGCTACGGGAGCCAATGGTGGCACGCCGGCTGATGGGAGCCTGCAACGCCGTACGTCACACACTCCTTCCTGGCACACGATCGCATTGGCACGCGCATCCACATCGAAGTAGAACACGCCGACCGATGCTGCAACACTGCAGTCGCAGTGTGCCCAAAAGCGGTGAAGAAATGCACTGGACATTAATTCAATTAAATTCAAGTTACAGTAATTAAATTAAATTAAATTGATTCATTAATTAAGCTTGGCGCAGATCCACGGAGGAGAGGGGGAGGACCCTCCCCCCTAATTTCTTTTTCAGTAAGTATTAATTTTAACTTGTCACGGAACTTTCAAGCAAAAATATTTTCGGAAAATCATTAAAAATTTGTTTTAAAAAATCGTATCGCGGCATGAGCTGAGTTGAGCCTGCATCATTCTACATACTCTGTAATGTGACACATTCGACCAAAACATTATGAATAAAAAACTATCGTAATTTACCGAGTACACTAGACTCCCAGTCGGGCATTTATATAGTATCCTTAAGATGGGGAAATATAATAACTATAGTGGCGGATTTTGATGTCCTGAAACATTGTCAAAAATGATCTATAAAATACTCTTAAATTGTTTTTCAAATGCCCTAAAAGGACGGTAAATTGTATAATTCTCTAAAAATTCCAGAAACGTCAAAAATGTATCCACTAAAGTAACCGCGCTTTCTGTCCTTAGCCTTTTAGTTCCGGATGGGAATTCGACGTTCTTCAGAGGTGGGCGACGGCTCATTTTTCCTTTTTCACATTTACTAACGCAAGAAGAGAAAGTATTGTAATCGTGCACTGGAAAATGTTCGACACAAAAGCTCTTATTGCCGAGCCAGGTAACGAAAACGTGGATATATCCAGTTGCTAAATATAGAACAAAAATTCCTCTAACACGTGGTGAAGCCAGAATCCATGTTTTGTGCGCCCTTCAAACCGAAAAATCGATTGACGGCAAAACATCTGTCTATGCACAACTCTAGCGCATAAACCGTTCAGCCGATTTTCTCCAAAATTGATATTCCACAATCGTTCCGGCTGATATCGCGGCCCCTGGGATTTGAAACCGATATTTTAATTTTGGAGGTACTTTACATGAAGCCTCTGGTAAATTTTAAAACTACAATAATGTCGAGGTCTACCATTCTGATGCGACGGGGGAAGTGGGGGGAGGAGAGATACGGGGCGTCTCAGGAACATAGGATGTTCCCTTTTTAAATGCCCAAAACGACGCTTATTTGTATGATATCTTTTCGTTTGTTTTTTCTTCCTTCAATATATCTTCAGGACTCTATTACGAAAATATTGAAATTGCTTTAGAAATCTTTTTTTTTCTTATGAAAAACTATGTTGACCAGTAATATCCAACTTTTTGCATCGAATGTATATACAACTACTACGGTATAGAATGTGTATATTTGAAACATTAGAAATACAGATTCAAGGTTATTAGTAATAAATAGAGAAATATTATTTTATTGCTAAAATGTACTGGAGAAAATGTAAAATTCAATGCTTAAAGTCTCTGCTTAAAGTCTAAAGAGAGTAAATATATACTCTCTGCTTAAAGTCACATGTATGTCATCATATGCTCAAGTTGATCACTCAAAATTTAATTGTGTATTTGGACAAGCTTCTGAATCACTTTTTATCATTCTTGAAAGTTTATGTTATTATGAGCTCATCTCAATGTTATTTTGTAATTTAAATTTCAAATTGTATCAAATCCCTAGAGTATTTGAATGATCTAAGCCACTTCATATGTGACAAATTATTTAATTTTCTCACCTTGAAATACCCTACTAAAGCAATGGAACCTTGGATGCTGTTTGTCTACATACTACATAGCTTGGTAGTGATGTATGTGACTTGACCTCCAAATTGAAGTTGTTGTTAAAACATTTTTGAATGTACATGAGGGGTTTTCAGCAGGGTAGGTCACCTCTCTTAAGATCAATAACATTTTAAAGGGAGTGAATGAATTTTAAAGGCATGACTGTGGGTCATTAACTGAATATGGACTGATCATTGAGCAGTATGATAATGATCAAGATCCGAAAATTTGATAACAAATTTTTAATGAAGTAGATGTTTACTTGTTTTCTGACATGAAGCTACAAAACAACTCCTGTTTTTCATTTATCATTCATTAAAATGTTTAGAAAACTCAAGAAATTGTAACTATGTACTCACGTTACTCTATCATGCAACAAAATATTATCCACACCACACACTGCCGAAATGTTTTGTCCAGTTCTTAAGAAATGCTCAGCGTAAATTACATTTTGCGACTATTACTCAATAATGACGAAAGTAAACTACTTACAATTGGAAGCAAAAGTGTCTTTGATTATTGGAAACTGGGTTCTTTATCAACATTTCTGTATGCAAAATTATCTTTTAGTCTTATCTTTCATGTACTATTCTTTGTGCCAGTATTACGTACACTTTATGTACAGAAAGAAATGTAAGGAGGTCGATAAAGCAAACAATTCTTTTAAAAGAGGACAATGCAAGAAAACAGTTGGGAATCCCATGCTTTCTTATGTTTACCCTCCCGATGTATTGCCCTTACTGGATTGGAGTTCTTTCCTTGTAGGCTCAAAATTTGGATGCTGGAAACTAAATGCAAGACCTTTCAGAGAGGTTAATTCACCCTTCTATCGTATGGAAAGTGAAATAAAAAGTTCTGTGTTTAATAACTATTCAAGATAAATAACTTCAAAAACAAGGTTTTTTATGGTGTGTCATTAGAAACTACTAGCTTTGGTTATGAATATTAGAATGAAAAATATTTCATAAGTCTATTCTTTACACTCTATTTGTGCTTAATTTTAGTACTTTGTTGACTGTTTTAATTAACCTTATATTTAGGCTTATATAACTTAATTAGTGTTTTCGAATTTAGTGAATTCTCTTAATTAGTGAATTCGTGTTTTTTTAATTTCGATGTATTAGTGTTCTACTAAAGACAATAACGCATTGTTACGCGTGTCCATTTCATGACACTGAGATTTTGTGTCCAATTTCATGCTCCGAGATTTTGGTCTACGCGATTCATCCTTGAATATGAACGCTAGCAGAACACTTTGTGCAGTTTTGTGAACGCACGGAAAGTGCAATGTACGTTCACGCCACCGCGGTGGGACCATTCCTACCCTTACGGGCATCTATGGTCTATCCTGCAACATGAAAAACAGAAGGTCAAAAGATGACTTTAGTTTACCGGCGCGCGCATTGCGTTGTTTATGTTTTAAGTCTCATTTCTCTGTTTCAGATTACTCTTACTCCAGGAAGAGCTTCGGTCGCCTATACGTGGCCCTTTGATCGGGTTGGTATGAGGCAATCTCGGAAAAGACAGGGTTTTCCGAGTCAGCTGCTTAAAAAAACAAAAAACAAACACGATATTTTTTATGTGATTTTTGAAATACTTGCAGTTTATTCAGATGAGAAGTTGCTGCAATTGCCCAACTTGGGCATGCGTAGTCCATTTGCGGCCTAATTATTGCTTTATAAAGCGTGAGGCAGTTTGCCTTTGACAGTTTGCTCTGTTTGTGAAACAAGCTTCGCCATCTGCCTCGGGTCTGCCGCGCTTTCTTTCGCACATTTTCGATGTGCAGATTAAATGTAAGTGGGCTGTCTAATGTGACACCTATATATTTAACATATTTTGCCCAATTAATCGCGTCTCCGCATAGCGCGAGCGGCCTTGGCCGCGTGAATCGCAGTCTTCGTGAGAAGATTACAGTTGCACTCTTACTCACATTGACTTTGACCCGCCACAGTTTCAGCCATTCCTGGATAAGTGGCAAATGTTGATCCAAGTACTTCTGGAGAAGCTCGATATTTTTCGACGTGGCTATTACAGCCGTATCGTCTGCGTATAAGGCGAGCTCAATTTGAGGGTGGGTGGGAATATCACGCACATAGAGGCTGAAGAGTGTAGGAGCAATCACGCTCCTTTGTGGCACTCCGGCCCGTATGGCGCGGCGGGTAGATTTGGCATTCAGAAGCGTCACTTGCAACGTTCTGTTTTCTAGGTACGAGTGGATAAGGTGCACATGGTATACAGGAAAGTTCATGGAGTGAAGTTTGTAAAGGAGGCCGACGTGTCAGACCTTGTCAAAGGCGCTGGCAACGTCGAGGAACACTCCACCTGTAAATCGTCCCTCGTTGAAGTTGCGTCTTATGCGGTCCGTGATTCGCACAAGCTGATGCGTTGTGCTATGTCTCGCGCGAAAGCCAAATTGCTCCTTATTTCAGAGTGAATTTTCTGAAACATATTTTAGAATTCTGTTTTGGATTAGTTTTTCACAGAGCTATCCGACCGTATTTAGTAGACATATGTGCCTGTATGACTCGGGCTTTTTCGGGTTTTCCCTTGCTTTTGAAAAGTTAGAACATGTGCATGCTTCCACTGACTCGGGAAATGTTGAAACATAAATATAGCGTTAAACAGAGCGACTAAGAACACTATGGCCTGCTGTGGCAGCTTCTTTAGGACGTCGTTAGAGATGCCGTCGGGGCCTGGAGCTTTTCTAGTTTTCAGCTCCGAGATGGCCACTTTAACTTCAGTTTCTGTAGCGAAACAGCTCGTCGGCGGGCACGTGCAAGGCCGCCATTACCGTTTGTTGTACTTCGATAACGTGCGGTAACGTGCGGTATTGGCGGCGCCTCCTTGACCGGCTGAAACTGAAATTCTAAGACATTAGCTAGGAGTTCCGCTTTCGCCTCGTTTGATTCTGCGAACTCTCCTGTGCTGGTCTGAAGCGGCGGCACTGTTATTGGAGTCCTGGAAAGCATGCGATTGACTCGCCACAGTGAATTATCTTCAGGGTTGAGACCTGACAACAATTTAGCGCATTTTTGATTGCGGTATTCAGCTAGTTCGATTTCAACTTTACGTTTCAATCGGTTTAGCTCCCGCTGGGTGTAGCGTGCTCTGTCACAATCTACACGCCCTGTTTTTCCTATAAATTAAGTTAATTAGAAACGGGGTTAATGTCTGCTCTTTCTTAGAGGAATGCTGCTTCTCAGGTGCTGCGTTGAGGCTGTCAGTCACAGCTCCGGCGAATTTTTGTGCTTCAGATTCTATCT